TGGGGGGTGGGGGCGGTATATTCCATAAGGTGGTGGGAAAGGCTGGTTCTGAGGATTTAAATTGAGACCTGAAGGAAGGGTCGGTTACTAGATCCATAGGAGAAGATTTCAAGTGGCGTTCAAGGCTCTGAGATGAGAATAAAGTATTGTGAAAAGGCTAAGAAAAAGAAATGGGGGTTCCGAGACAGCAAACAACAGTCATTGGAAATGCTGTAACACTAAGGTGGAAACATTTGGAAATGAGGAGGTTTCCTAAAGCCTGTTCTTTTTAATGACGAAGAAGCTGAGGCCCAGTGAGATTGACAATGTTGTGGTCATATCCAGTTAAACTGTAATCTGGGTCTCACATCTCCCAGTCTGTGGTCTTTTCTATTAAACACAATGACATGTATTGTGCTTGACAACTGGATGTATTGTACAGTATTGGTTTTTACAACTGAGTTTAAACCTTTATCTGCAAATAGTTGGCAAACATTCATTAGGCTTTCTTTATAATCAATATCAATCATTGTGATTTGTATCCCTTATTAAGAAAATCACAAGGAGTACTCTAACCCTTCAGTCATCTATTAACTTTAGTCTCAAGCTTGAAAATCATTAGGTCTTTAGTGGTGCACTAAAAAGAAATTCCTAAGTTTATGTTAATTTCCATGTAGTCAATTTGGACCCAGATATTGTTCATCTTGTTTAAATATGGGAAAAATTTTTTTTATTGCTCTTCGTCATTTCCAATTATAGACCTATTGGCTAGCTAGACATCTCAGCTATAATTTGTGCACTTTTCTTTTTGATGAATGGCAAAGACTGAATTTTCAGGGCAATAATTTATGTGAACTGCAGATGTACTTTATATTTAGCTACCTTTCTACTTTTAATATTTTTATTACTTTGAGGAGAAATGAATTACAGCTAATATTGTTTACAGCTCTCTTTGATATATTGTTAGGCTTTTAATCCATCTATAGGAATCTGCTATGAACTTAGCTCTGGAGCTTAATAAAACCCTTTTATTTGGTGATGATTATGCAGGCCAGTGAACATTGCCCCAAAGTCATAGTCAGTGGGAATGGTAAAAGGTCTGAGCCGGCAGGAGGTCACATTCACAATGCAAGGCCAATGCAGAGCAAAATGGCTTTATTGTATGTGCCTGGGTGCAGGCGGGCTGAGCTGAAAAGGGTTCAGAATCAAATAATAGTTGGGGTGTAGGTTATATACTCTACTTTTAGCTTCTGGCAATTCCTGCTGATGTACTCTGCCTGGCCAATTGTCCACTTTGCAGTTGGAATGGTCTAGTATCTCATCCTGCATCTGCTGGGAGATTCATTGTCTTGCGTATAATCCATATTCGTACTCAACAGAAGGCTGAGCAAAGGTCATGCAAGCAACACAGTTTCTGCCTTTTGCATGCTTTTACCTTTACACTTTAAAACATTACTAACTCTTTCAAATAGTAACTTAACAAATCAGAGAGTACAAAGATGTGTTCTAGTTATCTAAAAAGTTGTAATTTAAGAAGCTTATATTGCTTTTGGAGGAAATAAATACACCCTTGCTCTCTGTATTTTAATATAAAGAATTGAAAGTAAAATATTTGTTTATGTGGATGATTTGATACATGTATACATTGCAAAAGGATTCCCCCAGTGAGTTAATTAACATATCTATTACATTACATATTTATCTTTTTTTTGTGTAAGATCATTTAAGTTCTACTTTCGAAGCAAATTTCTATTATACAATACAGTGTTATCAACTCTAGTCACCATTTTATACATTAGCTCCTCAGACCTTATTCATTTCATAGCTGAAAGTTGGTACCCTTTTACCAACCTCTCCCTATTTTTAGCATTTCTCAGCCCCTGGCAACTGCTTTTTTACTCACTGTTTCTACAAGTTAAATTAAAAAAAAAAAGATTACTCATGTAAGTGATACCATGAAATATTTGTCTTCCTCTGTCTGGCTTATTTCACTTTGCACAATGCCCTCCAGTTTAATTCATGTTTTTTCAAATGATAGGATTTTCTTCTTTTTAAAAGGCTGAATTATATTCCATTATACAAATATATACCATTTACCTTAACTTTGTAGACTGAAATAATTCACATGCACTATTATGTATCATTATGAGAACGGATCTTCCATTTTTCCATGAACTGGTGTAAGCAACCACATTTTTCATATTTTAAAAAGTTTGATTTATGACACACATAATAAAAGTGTACAATTTATAAGAATTTAGTCTGGCCCTGGCCAGTTTGGCTCAGCAGTTAAAGCGTCGGCCTGCGGTCCGGAGAGACCCGGGTTCGGTTCCCGCTAAGGGCACGTACCTCGGTTGCAGATTGTCCCCGGCCCTGGTTGGTCATGCGGGTGGCAGCCACTCGATGTGTCCCTTTCACATCGATGTTTCTCTCACTCTCTCCCTTCCTCTCTCTCCCTCCCACTCTATCTGTACAAAAAATGGAAAAATATCCTCAGGTGAGGATAAGAAAATAAAAAAAAAAAAAAAAAAAGAATTTAGTCTGATATACATTCACAAAGTGAATATACTCATGGAACCAGCACTTGGTCAAGAAATGGAATATCATCACCCCCCCCAGTCTGACTTTTAATATGAACAGTTTTGCTTCTTTTTACATGTTTAAATAATGGAACCATAATTTTGTGTTTGTGAGATTCATTCATGTTATTGTGTATATTTATAGTTTTTTATTTAAAAATCTTTATATTATTCCATTGAACAAATATACAACAATTTACTAGTCCATTCTAGAGTTGATGGACATTTAGGTTGTTTCCCACTTTAAGTTCTTAAAAAAAAAAAAAAAATGCCATCAACAAATAATCAAACAACAAGTGTTGGCGAGGGTGTGGAGAAAAGTGGACTCTAGTACACTGCTGGTGGGAATGCAGACTGGTGCAGCCACTATGGAAAACACTATGGTGTTACCTCAAAAAATTAAAAATTGAACTTCCATTTGACCCAGTGATCCCACTTCTAGGAATATACCCTAAGAAGCCTGAAACACCAATCAAAAAGAATATATGTACCCCAATGTTCATAGCAGCACTATTTACAATAGCTAGGATCTGGAAACAGCCCAAATGTCCATCAGTAGACGAATGGATAAAAAAGCAGTGGTACATATACACAATGGTGTACTATGCAGCTGTAAGAAAGAAAGATCACTTATCCTTTGAGATGACATGGAGGGACCTGGAAAGTATTATCCTAAGCAAAACAGCCAAGCAGAGAAAGACAAATATTACATGATCTCACTTATTTGTGGAATATAATGAATATAACAGTCTGAGGAACGGGGTAGTCCCATAGATATGGGTACAGACTGACAATCCCCAATTACTATTTGAGGAAAATGTTGTCCTAGCCATTGGCATGCCCTCAGTAAACTTCTGTGCTGGGTTGAGAGGTCTTTTTCTCAGTCTACTTTCCTTCCATGGGAGCATTGCTCCAACTTGACTGATTACTGAAGCATATGTTTCTGTATTTAGCAAGAAATTCAGCATATCTGTATTTCTGGTAAATGCTGCTCAGTACTTATCTATACTTTTGCTAAATGAAAGAGTAAATATGAAGAGCTTCATTAACTATTTTGAATGCAAGTGCAGAAAACCAGATTCAAACTAGTTTAAGGAAAAAATTGGGTTAATTAACTAACTCTTGTAGCTGATGAGCCAGGCTTGGCTGGCTTCAGAACTTAAGCTTCACTTTTCCTATCAAGACTGTTTTTCCACTGAGCAGCCTATCTTCTTAGGCATCTTATCTCTTTCCCAGGCATGGGGAGTGGGGTGGCAAGAATTTTTCTGGTAGCTCCAAACTCCCAGCAGTTAAACAGAAACAAGAATAAAACAACAACAATAACAAATTTATTCCTGTATTACTAGAGCTCTCTAACACAAGTCCTGGAATTCAGTCTTTACGGCTCTGACCGCCTTCCTCGGCTCAGTTGGCACCAGGTCCTTCTCGACCACATTCTCTTAGAGAAGCAATGATTCTTCAAATAATATTGGAGTGCCATTACCAGAAGAGAGGGCAATGATTAGTGGCAAACAATAGCAACAAAATAGCCACTACAAGTTAGGTGACTTAAAGAGCAAATGGTTTATTCCTCTAGATCAGTGGTTCTCAACCTTCCTAATGCTGTGACCCTTTAATACAGTTCCTCATATTGTGGTGACCCCCAACCATAAAATTATTTTTGTTGCTACTTCATAACTGTCACTGTGCTACTGTTATGTGTTAGGTGACCCCTGTGAAAGGGTAGTTCGATCCCCCAAAGGGGTGACGACCCACAGGTTGAGAACTGCTGCTCTAGATGCTATAGGACTTACCCTTGGATTAAGCAAAACGCTGGAAAATTGTATACATAGATTGTGTCATTTTAGGCCCCGTGGAATTGCTTTTATAGAAGTCTGCTAGGGTATTTTGTTATCAGCCTGCATTGAAAGACAGTATAATGAACGTCCCTGCAGAATTTGTATATTATTGTAGGATAGTACTGGGGACACTGTTTAGTCTAGTTCGGTGCCCATGTTATAGGATTTCATGGGAGAACATTCTTCCTGGTTTTTGTATCAATGGTCGAACTGTTTCTAAACACCTTTTGCGATTTTATCTTATAAATGCTGCAATTTCTGAAACTGATAGTATTTCCTTTTTTGCATTGCTAGAATGATAGAGTCAATTTTATGGCTTGTTTTAGTCAAACAATACACCTCAGTACATTGGTTTTTTGTTTTTTTTTTAACGCAAGCCTCACTCTTTTCTTTTTATCTTATGTTTCCGTTAAATTATGATTTCACGACTCCTTTTTCTTTTGAGTCTGCCATATGTCTTTTGTAAATTTCCTGAAGTCTTTTCTGAAACAAATAAGTAGAATCTGTGAATATTTTATTCCATGAATTGAAACTATCACCACAAAATATGTAAATCTGCTTGGCTTTGTCAAGAAGATGATTAACAGAGCTTTTTTGGTTCCAGTTTTAGTTGACAGGGCTGTGAAGCACTACAAAATCAGAAGACTGGATGAAGGGGGCTTTTTCCTCACGCGGAAAAGAACCTTTACAACACTGAATGAATTTGTGGACTATTACACCCAAACAAGTGGCGGCCTGTGCGTCAAGCTGGGAAAACCATGCTTAAAGGTGAAATGCTTTCAAGGTCTATTCACTTATTTTTGGAGTTTCCCCTTGAGATATGGAATAATTTTCATGTGCTACGTCAGTTCAGAAAAAAAAAAAAAAAAAAGGTAATTTGATTACCTAAGGCGTGGATAGGCAGACGATGGCCCAGGTGCCAATATGGTCCCACACTTACTTTTGTTAGTAAGTTTTATAGGTACATAGACATGCCCATTTATTCACAAATTATCTTTGCTTTTTCACTGCAGTAGCAGAGTTTAGTCATTGCAATGGAGACTGGCCCACAAAGCCTAAAATATTTACCGTATCATTCTTTTCAGAACAAGTCTGCTAAACCTTGACTTGAGACAATCACTGAAGACAAAATATTCATCCTTTGCACTAAGAAATTAATGTGGTATCCTGCCATCGAAGCACTTAATGATAGGGCTGGAGGGCAAAAGAGTGACAGAATATAATTCCTACTTAGATCTGTATTCAAGAATATTAATATGAAATTACTAGGTTTATTATCCGGTTGAGTTGTCTGCATATAGATATCGTTTAACTAAGTGTTCTAACAGTTTGGTTATTTGACCTGGCCTGTTTGGTGGAAGGAGATTACATTTCTAGACTATGTCTACATCTATCATTATTTAGTTTTTCCCTAAATGTATTTAAAGTTACATAGTGGTCACATACTGTAGTGGGGCAAGCCCTCAGCTCCTCCTCAGAGTCCAGGTCTCACCTACTGCCAGTAGGACAGCCAGCACTGTGGTTTATACCCGGATGACAGATGAAAGCTTCCTGGTGACACCTGACCAGAACATTATGGACAAGTAGAAGCTGAAAAATTTTATGCAGTATATATAGACTATATTGAGTTAAATTCTTCCAAGTTAATATGCAATTTTGGGGTAAGTATGTATATCTTAGATAGTACAGGAATAATCCCACAATAGAATCTAAGTTCATGCTAACAAAGAGCTTACAAAGATATAGCTTATATACAAAACCTACATACAAAGATATAGCTTACAAAATGCTCAAAATATAGCTTATATACAAAGCTTATATACAAAGTTATAACTTAGAGCCCTGGCTGGTTTGGCTCAGTGGTAGAGCATTGGCCAATGAGTCTTGGGTTTGAATTGGTACCTCAGTTTTGGTTCATCCCTGGCCCTGGTTGGGTTCATGCGGGAGGCAACCAGTCCATGTGTCTCTCTCACGTCAATGTTTCTCTCTCTCCCTCACTCTCCCTCCCACTCTATCTGAAGATAAATAGAAAAATATCCTCAGGTGAGGATTAAAAAAAACCCACAAAGTTATGGCTCACAAAATATTTAGTTTAACTAATATTGGTAAATCCAGTGGGGAACAGGGTTCACGAAGAAGCATAGGATAGTAGATGGTGAACTGGACTCTGAGCTCTAGGAGAGCAGTGGCCCTTGCCCTCTTGGTTACAGAAAGGAACCTGGTTGGTGCTTGAAAATACTTATTTATTAAATGGACAAGGAAATGAATGAGTGAACAAATGAATTTCAAAAAAGATGGGAATTTTAATTATGCAAAAATATAGGATACATATATTTGATAAATGATATAGACCAAAGAGTTTGGGAAGCAGTTGTGGATGAGGTGGAAACTTCAATTTGGCCTTAAAATTGGGAGGATTTAGTTAGGCAAAGAAGCAGAGAGAGATCATGCCAGACCCGTGTGAGGGCGTGTTTGGGCATCGGCTGGGACAGATGGACATCAGGTGCCTGAGTTAGCAGGACATGGGGGGAGATCAGCTTGAAGAAGTAATTATACAGATTCTGCCACAACTGCTTTTCATTGTAAAATAATTAGAATAAAATATTCAATATTTTGTTTAAAAATGATGTATTTTAAAAAAAATACATAGACTATTATTTTCATTCAAATATTGTTAACTCTTTTTTCTGACCAGTATTCTTATTATTCTGTGACACAGATACAAATCCCAGCTCCTTTTGATTTGTCATATAAAACTGCGGATCAGTGGGAGATAGACCGCAACTCTGTACAACTTCTGAAGCGATTAGGATCTGGCCAGTTTGGCGAAGTGTGGGAAGGCCTATGGAACAACACTACTCCAGTAGCAGTAAAAACGTTAAAGCCAGGTATGAAGATGAGAACGTCAAAGATTCAATGGCATATGTTGATTTTTATAAGTTCAACTTGCCACTGTACATGTACAGGAGCCCACAGGACAGCCAACGCAGACACCAAGCAAATGTTGTGATCACTCTCTCTGGCCCAGGGGATCACAGCCTGTGGCCAGGACTTCAGACTGTAAGGGCAAGAGCACGTTCCCTGGATCAGCTAAATGTTAATATATCCTCAGTGTGAGATTTCAACGAGGAAGATCCAACCCTCCAGTGCCCTTCTTCCCCCTTTCTCCTAGATTTAGTTATAAAACACTCACTTATTGAAAATACTTTTAAAAAGATCAGTGGAACCTTGGAGTTATTTTTAAACTACTTCAGGCCTCAGTTTTATCATTTGCAAAGTAGAGTTAATAGAGTTAAGGCCAACCTAGCAGGGTTGCTATGAAGATTAAATTAGGTCATTAGTGGAAATGCTTTACATAATGTCTGGTTTATAGTACGTGACCAATAAAACTATCAGAATCAGAATAATAATATAATATTATATTATATAAATATTATATATATAATAATAATAAATACAAAGTCAGTAAAAGGCAGAGGTAGAATTTGAACTCACATCTACTACTGTTGCATCACACCTCAGGGAAGTGACATTTTATTAAAGTGAAATGTTACTGTAGTAGCCCCATACTTACTTCTAATAACATAGGACAGAATAGTAACCAAAAGCTAGAATATAATTCTCTGGGGGACCTCCATTATTTACCCTGTACAGAATTCTTAGAAGTTTCGAAAACCACCAGGTGGCAGCACCGGAGCACCTGGGTACTGTTGGTTAGCAGTCTTGTATAATACTATGATTCCCAAACTATGTGCTAAGGCACACTGGGGCACTCCATTGGAATCACAGGGTGTTGCAGAATATTTAACAGTTATGAGGTAAACACCTTAAATACTGTGCAAACTGCTATACCATAAAATAATTTTCAGTTTTAGCATTAGATCATGTTATATTCCTTTTGCTGACATCATATTTTTGTGAACCAGGTTTTTGGTGGTTGCTATTGTCAAATGCAGCATGTCACAAAAAAATCACTGTGGACCAGGAAATGTAGGTAGCAGTGTTCTATCTGCTTCCAAGGCCTGAGAAATTGTGCAGTGCCCAGTAGTTGCATACATCCCTTTAGAATTATTTTTGTTAGGACACAACTACTTCTTAAGTTGTTTGATTTAACCAAGTAATTAATAGGAATGTTAGGTATTTTTTTGGCTTAGGGACATCATGAAAAAATTTGCTGAGGCAGTGACTGTACCATGAACTAAGTTTGGGAGCCTCTGGTATAATAGTTACTGGCATAATGTTTGGTACAGGATACACCTGAGTCCTAACTTGGCTCTGCCCTCTATGACTTTAGACAGTTTATTAAACCTTTTGAGTCTTCTTGTCTGAAAGTAAAAATTCTATTAATTTCTGTTTCATAGACTTTTATAAGGACAAAATGAGTAACTTTACATCAACTATGTGCAGTGAGTTCTTAATAAATATTAGCTTCAATTGGCTGCTGACAGATGTCCACTGATGTACAAATTCACTAGAGCAGGGGTCCAGCCTCGACATTTACACCTGCCACACGACACAGTGGAGAAGCACCTGTAAGTGGCCAGGTGCCATGTGCATACTCCAGGTGAGGACAATCTGTTCCAGCATCTGAGATTTTCATAGTCACGGTGTGCTTATGATTTTGAATCCTAAATTTGTTGACAATTGAGACTAAACTTAAATGTCTAATCTAATGTTTTCCAAAAAGAAGTAGCTAACTATCCATCCTAACATTGCTCTCCAAGGAAGACCTTTTGGAGGTCAAAAAAGAACAAAAAAAATCAGATTTCTTACATCAAAAAATGTGCCGTAATAGTTTTCTCTCCAACAGGAATAATTATTATTGATTTACAGTGTAATAGCAGCAAACAGCTTTGGTGACTGGTTAAATGTCTTCACTTCACTGGGGCCATTAATCAATCTCAGCAGCTATTTATTGCTTAGCAGACTACCAAGCAATAAAGACGAGCCTGAAATCAACTCCCACAGTAGCTTTGACAGGCAGAAATTAATATTTAATGTTGCATTACAAGCGAAGTTGAGATGGGATCTCCTTTGCCGGGCAGCTGGTCAGCTATAACCAGTGTAGCCAGCCTTCACCTGACACACTGTGGTTTCAGCTATTGTGGATTGTTTGATTTGGCAATGATTTGAGTGTCCTGCATTCCATGAATCTGATGCCCACACAAAGCATCCACACAGAAGCATATTATATATATATAAGTTGTGGGAATGGTGATCATAATTTCTGCTATCACTGGAAGCTTCATGAATCAGATTATTTTTTCAGGGTGGGAAGGATCCCACTGTATCCATGTCTGATCACAAGCCAATCTAGTTGTCACAACCAAGAACAAAGTCCTTTGTTGTAGTTTAAGTGTCTCTTTTATATTCAGCCTCATTTTGCCACTATGATTCAAGATTTTAATACTCCTTGATTATATGGGCAAAACCAATGGTAGGGATGAAATTGAGGAAGCTCAGCAAAATGTGATAGAAAATAAAATAGACCATTTCCTTTATCTTCCTTCTTTTGTAAAAAAATTTTTCTGTGTTTTTAGTGATTTTTTTTTTAAGAGAGAGAGAGAGGAAGGAAGGGAGAGATAGAAACATTGATTTGTGAGAGAAACATTGATAAGCTGCTTCCTGCACATCCCCACTGGGGATTGAGCCCTTTCTGGACATGTGCCCTGAGTGGGAATTGAACCAGGACCTCTCAGCCCTGGGGTGATGCTCAATCCACTGAGCCACACTGGCCAGGCCCCTTATCTTCCTTCTTTAAGTCCTTCCCCCTGCCCCTCCTCAGCCTGTGAAAAAATACATACAGTTGATTTGGTTGTTTTACCCCAGAATATGCATATTAATAATAATACAAATAATAATCAAGAGTCATTGAATATATATATATATATCAGGCATTGTTATTATCCTGATAATCATTTTATGATGTCAGTGAGATTATTAACCATGTTTTACAGGTGGAGAAACTGAAGTTGAGAGACATTTGATAACTTGGTAAAGATCACACAGGGAGCCAGGATTTGTTCAGAATCTGTTGGCTTGAACCTGGGTTCTGAACTTCTGGACTCTCAAAGGGCATATCAGAGATAGACTGCCTAAATGCTTTACGAGAAATGATCCTCAGGTCACATGTAACTCTTCTTAACTTCACATTGGTACACAAGTCAGAGTGTTACCTTAGAATGTCAATGATTATCCTCACGCCTCTGTTCAAATATCAGTTGTGATGTCTTCAGGATGAGAGAATGATGAATGGAACAGTCTTTCTGTGCATCAGTGGCAATATTTGCAGTATCCATAGTGAATATTGAGGTGTGAAATTATAGTATTTCTTCAATTATAGTACTACCTCTGCAACATCATAGCCTACAAGAAGTTAAAGATTTAAAAATTGCTGATGAAATGTAAACTCCAAGTATTCTTCCTCCTCTCAGATTTTATTTGATGGTAACTACTTGGCACTTTGCATGGTGAGTCAGAGTTGAGCCATTTAAATGCAATTAAATTGTTCATGAGCCTTCAGAATAGGTCTCAATACAATCTCCCTTATCATTTGATCAAGCTATTAAGACTCTGACTGTGGAAATATTAATACAGGAGAAAATGTTGAATATTGGTTTCAAGTTAGACATAAAATACTAGTGGAAAAAACACTAAGTTTTAGGGGTGTCTTTTGAATATATTCTACTTGGTCTATACCATATGTCCCTTACAGAACTGAAGACATAAATATGACTGAACGTCATTGCATTACGATTGTTATCCAGTTCTTCCCACAGTGGGTACCAAGGTCAGGGCAGCTATCAGTCTTCCCTGGATTCCAGCCCAAAAGCTCTGGCTGCAGTCATTAAACAGTTAGTGTTCTCCAGTACTCATGTTACTAGAATGTCTTCTTTTTGTGTCTTCAGACGCCTGCCTTGTTTTATCAATTAGACTATCAATATCTCTTTTTTTCTTTATTTTTATATGGACCTGAATGAACAGGTCATAACACATAAACTGCACAACAATTATTAGGTTGCCTGGCTGAACTGATTCTCTTCTTTGATAAATCCGAAGATTTGTGACACCAATGCTTTTACTTTACTGAGAGGCAGGAAGCACCTGTGTGATTCCTACCAGGCTGCTATGAGGATAGGAATGCCTCAATAACATAAAGTGATTTCCCTCTCTTCTTGTTTCAGGTTCAATGGATCCAAATGACTTCCTGAGGGAGGCACAGATAATGAAGAACCTAAGACATCCAAAGCTTATCCAGCTTTATGCTGTTTGCACATTAGAAGATCCAATTTATATTATTACGGAGTTGATGAGACATGGAAGTCTGCAAGAATATCTCCAAAGTAAGCTAAAGACTTAATAAAAGGGGAGAAAAAAAGAGTAATTTAGTTATAGCAAGTCCTATAAATGTCAATTTAGCAAGCTTTCTATAACCCAAAGGATATTTATTGTGTATATCTGTGAGAATAGTGTCTTCACATTGAATTGCTCAACTATTCTTTAATAGGATATATACTGTGTTCTCAGAGGAAGGAAAAATATTTATGTAGTGGGAGAATAAATTGTTCACTGTAGACACATAGAAATACTTAAATGTAATGTGGAAAATTGCAGAATAGATGTTTTGCATGATGCCTTGTTTCCTGCAGTAACTAATTGAACATTATCAGTCATGGACCAAGACTTTCTATGGCACAGAATTAGGGGACAAAAACTATGTTTGGAAAAAGAAAGGGAGAGGTACCCTCACATTTTTTTTTCTTTGCCAGTGCTTCACTACGTTGTACTTGTTGGTATTTAAAATGCTTCCACTGTTAGGCAACATTAGAAGGTGTGGATATGTAAGAAGCAGAAATATACTATTGCTTTATTTCTACATCTGTTTCTTATAGTTAGAGAAGACTTAAGGGCATTGTAAAATTTGGATGTTTATTAATGAATAATTTCATAAGCAACAATATAAAAAGCCTTAAAATGAGATGCTCAAAGTAGTTGGGATCAAGTACTGAGAGAACACAGTTGACTCTTGAACAATGTGGGGTTATGGGTGCTGACCCGCCTCCCCGCACAGTTGAAAATCTGAGTTTATCTTCTGATCCACCCCAAACTTAACTATTACAGTTTTTCCTCAGTATCCATAGGAGATTGGTTCCAGGAATCCCCACAGGTACCAAATTTGCAGATTCTTAAGTCTCTCATATAAAATAGTATAGACCAAGACATCCAGTAGGCCCTCTGTATCAGCAGACTCCCAACTGAGGATCAAAAACAGTATAGGTATTTTTTGAACAAATATCCTGTGGACCTATGAAGTTCAAACCTGTGTTATTCTGGGGTTGACTGTAATTAATGTTTAAATATGATATTTTTCTATGTTTTTTGAAATGTCAGAGTGGGATTGATGTATAGAGAGGTAAAGGGAGATAAGAATAATGTAATGAAGGTATCAGACAAATCCAAATATTCTCTTATTTCAGAGTGACTGGTGAAGGTGGTAATATTAAATTGCAAAGTTAGATTAGAAGAACCAAGAACATAAGACCTCTTATGTGCTGTTAAAAATAAAAATATACTTAGCTCCCTTGCACGAGGATGTAAAATTTAACAACATCAGAATATGTTACTCACCATAGAAAGACTAACCTCAACTATTGATCCCTTTGTCCTTATTCCCAGGGACAAATGTTCAGGAGCCGTCTTGGGTCATCACTAACAAGGTCACTTCCAACATTCACAGTGTTAAATCTAATAGTCATTTTTAATCCTCAGCCCAGTCAATAGTATTTTATTTGATGGACACCATCTTCTTCTGGAAACACTTCCTTCATTTGGTTCCAGGACACTTCACTCGGTGGCTTTTCCTGCTATGTTTCTTGCTGGGTTGTTTCAATTTATGTGATTTTTCTCATGTACTAGTCCTCTCAATATCTTGGAATTTTCCAGGACTATCTTGCTAATCTCAACCAGATGAATTATTTAGTAACATTTATGTATTAACAATTCCCCAATTTATATCCCTCCATTACTTCAGAATCATAGATCCAACTGCCTCCTTAGTTTCTCTACTTAAATGTTGTGTCAGTCTAGGAAATGTAGATATGATGCAGTAAGGAACAGCCTGCAAGTCCCAGAGACTTAACAGAACAAGTGTTTATTTTGCTCATAATATATGAGCAAAATAGATCGACTGGTACCTCAGCTCTTTTGATCACCTTGGCAAGGGCAGGGGATATAATTAGTCTTATTCTGGCTCTTAAAGCTTCTGACCCTGAGTGACAGAGGTGACTTTTGTGTCTTCTTCATTTGGCTTAATCAAGTCAAAGAGAGTAGGGGAGTATGATCATCTAAAGTGCTTGAAAGGAGACAAAAATAAATTTATGAACAGCCCTACTGCTTGTGCCTATTAGATGTTTTAAAACAACATGTCCCAAACTGACTTTTCTGCATTATTCTCAGTAATCGTACACTCTTCTGGTTTTTCTTTCTTCGACAATGTCAACAATCAGGCCTAATATCTTGGAGTCATTTATGCTTCTTCTCACATCTCATGTCTAATCAACCATTATATTCTATTGTCTTGCTTTCCAAATATATCCAGAATATTATCACTTCTGAGCACTCCCACTCTGGTCCAAGCCATTCTTAGTTCTCTCCTGGATTCGGCAATAGCTTCCTAACTGGTCTCTCGCTTATGGATCTTGTCCCCTTCATTCTCTTCTCAATATAGTAGCTTGTGCAATCCTGTTAAAGTGTCAGTCAGATCATGTTCTTCCTCAGCTCAAAATCTTCAATGACTCCCATGGGTTCTACTCCCTGTATAACCCATAAAGTCCTGTGTGACGTGGCTCTCCATGGCCTCTGACCACATCTCCCACAACTTGACCCTTGTTTACTCTGTGTCAGTGACACCACCCTTCTTGGCTACTCTTCATATCTACCAGATGTGCTTTCCTTTAGGCCCTTCACCCTGGTGTTCCAGATCTGAAAGAGTTTCCTGTTACTTATTTACAGTGTGCACTTCTTTACTTCCTGAAAGTTATCCTGCAATGTCCTCAGACATCTCGATTATGATGAGGCCTTCACTGATCACCCTCTAAATTCTAAAATTTAATCTCCCTCTATTTTTGTTTTTTCTTTTAGCTGCTAATTATCTTATACTGCATGACATTTGTGTAGCTCATTTTTAGTATCTTCTAAAATACAACGCCATGAGGGCAAAGGTTTTTCTTTGTTTTAGTGCCAGAACAGTGTCTGGCATATAGACAGTGTGCACTAATTATGTATTGGCTAACTGAATGAATAAATTAGTGGACAGATTGAGTTGGAGCTATTCTGAACCCAGTAAGATTGACTCGGGGTCAAGCTTGTTTTGGAGCTCTTGGTATCAGCTTGAAAACACCTACTTATTACCCTGCAAACTCCTTTGGCATTGAGACTTTCTATGGCTTATTGATGTGTTTTACTTGGGGCTAAGCATGAACCTCTGTCATCTTCTGGGTTGGGACATGAGGGTCAAGTTTACCAAGGCTGCCATTTACTAGGATACTTAGCAGCAAGGAGGAGTAGTGAAGATATGTTTATTATAGATAATCCCTTCCCAAGGGCTTATATTCAACAAAGTGATCTTATAATAATGAATTTGCCATTCTTAAGCAGCCTATCATGATAAATATTAAGCTGAGAGACTTGAGTAATGGAACATAATTGAAAATATTTTCTTGCTGCAGATGTGAATTGTCATAGGTCTGTGAACCTTTCTATCATTTTGACATCTGGCCATTTTATTTGAAATGTGCTCTAAGGGTGAGTCAGGCAGTTCCTAGGCCGCTGCACTTTTTTGTGATAGGAAATTTGTTATTACTCAGTTTCCTTCTCTATTGTGCCTGTCAGTGAAAACCTTTTGATGTCCACTGTAATAGGATTAGATGTTGTATTTGATAGTTGAAATAACATACATATTTTCCTATAGAACCGTCTTTATAATCCCTAAGCTTGGCTGAATGATTTTTGCAATAAATTTCTTCAAGATGGGGGAAGCTTGTCAAAAAACTTCAGCATTGAGGATAATTGATGGAGGTATTTCTTACTGAAATTTTAAAGAAGATAAATATATACATTTATTATTGTTTTTTGTTTAGTTGGGCTTGTTTTCTTTTCAATAAAAACTTATAGATCTGACATAGGTTAGGATGTTTTCTCTTTTTAAAATATTAATCAAATCCTAGCATGCTGCTCATTATTCTCATTGACAGTTCACTTAAGTGGACTGAAGGAGGCTGGCGTGTTTTCATTGAGATACCCTTTAACTGAATACAACTATTTAACTTGTTGCTGTTTGTGTGAATGGAAGTTTTTCCATAGCCTCTGACTTTAAGGTGCTCAGGAGTGATGTCACCATGTCCTCAGCTCCCATCCAGCCCTCAACCCCTTATACTCCATCTCCAGTGAAACAGCTTTTCCTGCCACCAAATCACCAGGGACTCCCTAGTTATTGTATTTTGCAAATGATGTTTAGTCCTTATCTTGCTGGACTTATTTGTGGAATTTGGCAGTAGTGGTGACTTTCTTTTTCTCACCCTAAATGTTGGTGTTATCATGATTCTGTTGTTTTCTAGCAATCTCATCCATATTTAATGTTTAACTCCCACTCATAAACTGTGACTGTTAAATCGATATTGCTAGCTGCATGCTCTCCCCAGAACTCCAGACTGATACGCTTGCTTTCTTTGAGGCATTTCCATCTGGGTGATCCACATGCATCTCTTTCTAGCTTAACAGATGCTAGACTGTTTTATTCTGACTAGGTAGCAACACTGATAACAAGATCAGGTAGGGTTTACTGCATTCTTTCTAGGTGACAGGCACTGTTTTAGGTGCTTTACATGTGTTAACTCATTTTAATTCTCATTTTAACAACTAATCCCATAAGGTAAGTACAGTTATCATTATGTAGATGAGGAAACTGAGGCATAGGAGTGTTAAGCAGCCTATCCATGGTCAGGAGAGGAATGTGAGGCAGAGCCCTGATCCAGATTCTGGCACTCTGGTTTCACACCAGTCTTTCTAGCCCCTGTGCTAGAGTTGCCTCTCAAGTCAAGAGTTGTGCCTAAGACTCTGGACCATGAGTCCTGCATAGTACTTGGCTTATTCAGTCAGGGATAATGATAGTTTAGATTTACAGGAGATTTTGTAGATTATTCAGAAATCTTGAGCACATCTACTAAGAGTGTAGTGGCTAAACACTATTCAGGGATGGCTGGGCCCATTTCACAAAGTCATCACAAAATAACACTAAGTTCTCCACTACTGCTCAAACTGACCCTGTTACATAAACTTTCTGTACTTAGTTGTGCAGACTTTGAACAGTAGGAGAAACTATGTCTATTAAAGTTATATCCAATAGAAGGCTACAAAAGGGAAATGAAAAAAATGTGCTAAGCTAAATGGAATACAAGTGTAATATACACATATTATAACTACTGACACACCCTTTATTTCTGTTTAGTGAGCTAGTTTTTTTTTTTTTTATCCTCACCCGAGGACATTTTTTCCATTTTTTGTTCAGATAGAGCGGGAGGGAGAGAGAGGAAGAGAGAGAGAGAGAAACATCGATGTGAAGGGACACATCGAGTGGCTGCCACCCGCACGACCAACCAGGGCCGGGGACAAACTGCAACCGAGGTACGTGCCCTTAGCGGGAACCGAACCCTGGTCTCTCTGTACCGCAGGCCGACGCTCCAACCGCTGAGCCAAACCGGCCAGGGCTAGTGAGCTAGTTTTTAAGAACAACAGTATGGTGGAAGAGTGAGAACTTTTTATCAGCTCAGCCATGCAAATTAGAATTGTTTTATAGGTTCAAAGACTAAAACAAACTCTGTAATGTTTGAAAGAAATCCTGAGGTGACCAAGTAACAATTTCTATGAAGAGATGAGACAGTGATGTAAGGTATGGAAAATGTTAATACTTGGCTCCTTCAGATATTTATAATTATTTGGATCATGTGATACTATTGTTTCTTTCTCTGTGTAACATTCATTCAGGGAAGAGCAGACTGCAGCCCTGGATTGTGTTTGGACTCAGAAAAGTATTGCCTTATTAACCCTTTACATAAAATAAAACCTTTTCTCTGGTACATATTTTCTTCTCAACAGATCAGGGCCATGGCACTTAATCCCACCGATAGGTCATTTCATCGAAATTCTTAGAATTCACTTCAATACTTTAAATGTTTCCCAAAGTAAATCTTTTATTTTCTCTTATTGTCTAGATGATGCTGGATTAAAAATCCAACTAACGCAACAGGTAGACATGGCAGCGCAGGTTGCCTCTGGAATGGCCTATCTGGAGTCACAGAACTACATCCATCGAGATCTGGCTGCCAGAAATGTCCTTGTTGGCGAACATAATATCTACAAAGTGGCAGATTTTGGACTTGCAAGAGTTTTTAAGGTGGATTTGCTTTTGTTTTAATTAGTTTCTTTTGTGTAATGGATCAAAATCTTAACAGACCAGTAGACGGATCGGTTTAGTGTTACTCTTTAAAACAACGTCCCTCCAAGTTCTGTGGTCCGTCGAACACTTTGGTAGCCCAAGGTCTTACATACAAACTGCTTCCTGTTTCCACTGCCTCACTAAGGAGAAAGAAATAGAGAAAATTATGATCAGCCAGATGGGAGAGTATGTAATTAAGTTGGAGGTTGAATTAATGATCCATTTTCAGTACCAGTAGCCTCTGTTGTCTGCTTCTATTTCCCCTAAGAGCAGCACACTCTGTACAGTTACCTGACTCCCCTCTGCTGACTTTATAGCAGCCTAACATTCATGCTACCAGAAGTTTTGATCAATCATGGACCTTTTAACTCCTGCCCCCACTCCCCACTTCATGACATTAGGCCAAAAGACATTGATATAGGAGCTATAATATTAGGCATTTTTCTCTGAATTTAATTTGAATATCTACATTGGACCCTAAAATTATGGGTGTGGGTGTGAAACATAATAAACAAATGATTCTCTTTTGATCTTCATGAAAGTCATCATTTCTTTTTGTAGATTAATTAGAACCACATTGAGTTGATATATTAATTTAAATCATTTGGATCCTACTTTTCAGTATTAGAAAGTGGTTACATAGTAATTATCAAAGTCAATTGCTCTTCAGTACCAGCAGTAAATCGGAAAACAGATAGGCTTTGTTTTCATTTTTGTTTTTTATTTTATTTTATTTATTTATTTTGTTAGCTAAAGACCAGATGTAAAGCCAGCATCATTATACACAAATTCTCCCATAGGCAGTAGAATGCTCCTTTCAGTTCTATTTTTAGCACACAGTAGGCTTTCAAGCAAGATTTTATTAATAACTTCTCACAGATTTTTTTAGTCTTGTATCCTAGCTTTGGAATTTGCTACAGCAGTTATCAATTGAACTATGCTCATTTTGAATCTTTTCCCTGTAATTTTAATGTGAAGCAGGTTATAGATGAATGAGGGTGGCATATATATATATATATATATATATATATATATATATATATATATAAAACACTTTAACTTGGCTTGCTTTCTTAATGCATTAACAGGTAGATAATGAAGACATTTATGAATCTAGACACGAAATAAAGCTGCCAGTGAAGTGGACTGCACCTGAAGCCATTCGTGCTAATAAATTCAGCATTAAGTCCGATGTGTGGTCATTTGGAATCCTTCTTTATGAAATCATCACTTATGGCAAAATACCTTATAGTGGTGAGTAATTAATTCTGAAGTGGGTCTTTCTGCCGCAGGTCACTTACTTAGGTGTGACTTTAACTGCTTCACCCAGACATAGAGGGCAGAGTTATGAGGATGACCATACCACATGCCTTTGGGAGCATAAAAGAGAAAATCTGATGATGATTTTCATTAATGAGGTGGTTTATTGCCTCCTCTTTTGCTCTTGAATTGCAGTCTTATAGACATTCTTTGCTACAGGAATTGGTTTAATTTCTGCAGCTGGAGAAGGAGATGGTAGACCTCATATGTTCACCAGGAAATCAATTTGCTTTGTAATGTACAGTATAAGTATTGATAAATTTAATAATCTCTGACTTGTTTTTTTTATTGTTGTTGATTTCATTATATATTTTTTAGGTATGACAGGTGCTCAGGTAATCCAGATGTTGAGTCAAAACTATAGACTACCTCAGCCATCTAACTGTCCACAGCAATTCTACAATATCATGTTGGAGTGCTGGAATGCAGAGCCTAAGGAACGCCCAAAATTTGAGACATTGTACTGGAAACTTGAAGGCTATTTTGAAACAGATTCTTTCTATTCAGATGCAGATGACTTCATAGGATGAACAGTGAAGAAGAGACTCAAATAATGAAGTAGAAATGAAGTTCAATAATCATCCAGAAATACAACCTTATTAACCAGCTGTAAAATGAGTTTATTTTGACATATTCAAGTGATAGGGTCAAATTGGCCATGTATTATAAGAAAATTATATTCATATTTTATTGACTGGGCAACATTGCAGGACAGTCTAAGATAGCCCATCATTTTCGGGCAAATTCAAACACACTAAACAGAGTTATTTTTCTTTCTAAAAGATACTTACATTTCTATTTATTGTTTGAAATGCCGATCAAGAGTATCAACAAATGATAGTCACTTTTTACTCAGTGACTGTTGTAGCATTTTCCTGTTTACTGATTAAAGTGGTTATTCATTATTCCTTGGATTGCTGAATCCCATCAGACTGTTATGAAGGAATTTGATTGCTTTGCTGCACAGCAGGACCTGTGCTTTGAGATTTTTTTTTCTCTTTTAAAATATCATGCAACTACAATGATGGTAAAGCCATGTTAAATGACTTGATTGTACTTGGAGTAATTGCACATATTTTTTTCCTGTGCATAAAAAATGAAGCAGCTGTTGAGAAAAAGAATTAAAATTTCTCTCATTTTGTAGAAGGAAATGATGAAATTTTCTATACCTCAGTATGTGTCATCTGAGAATCATCTACATTAGTTTTAATCTCTTAATGTTGAGAATCAGATTGCAAAGCTGATGAGTTATTATCTATGGAAAAATATGAGAAACATCTAATAGCCTACAAGAGCTAAAAAAATAAGTATCAAAATAGTTTAGGAAAACAAGAGAGCAGTAGGATTGCTATGGCCTACAATTTCTGAATAATTAAAAAAATGTACTGTTGGCATATAGGCCAGAATTTAAAATGGACTACAACACAGGTCAAGCTCTATTTCCGAGCTTGAGGCTATGAATAATGTCTGACCTTGGCTATGAAGCTGTACTTTTTGTCTGGTAGGACAAGAGGGTTTTTACTTATCTTAAATATACATTAACTTTTGTAAAAACACTGCTATCTTCTTAAGCAATGGGTGTATCAACTTTTGTGCCTCATTAGTTGGTTAGGAAGAATTCTCAAAGGTAGTTACAAAATCAAAAACATCTTTAAAGATCTTCTGATGTAAAGCAATATGAATGAGACAAGCCATGAGAAAACAGAAGTATATGCTGTCATCTTTTTTTAAAGGGGAAGAAGAGCATATATAAACAGTTGCAGAAACCCCAATTCAAAGTAATTAAGCACTAAGTAAATGTGTAAACTTTCTAACTGGAAGAAAGGCGGTAGGGAGGACTCCAGGTAGAATGCCATTAGCAGTTCAGTGATGTCAACCAGGAACCGAGTCCTTCCCACCCTTCCTTCTGCCAGCAGCAATGTCCTCGTTCTCGTGGTCGCCAGTGGCTGCCAGGAGCAGCTGGTGCTCCCTGTTCTCTTCTCATTTGGTAAGAGAAAATGGGAAACTACTCTCTCTGCATTTTCATCTTGCATAAAAATCATTCTTTTGCTCTCCTGACACAATGGGGTCATATGCCCAGCCCGGGACCAATAATGGGCTTAATGTGAATGTTAAGTGCCAGTTGGCTTAGAATAAGTATTGCCACTGAAGCTGGAAATGTGGTCATCTTTCCTGGAGACAAATTGGGAGGGAGGTTGGCTTAGCTGAATAAAATTAGAGAAGATTAGATGTTGGACAGACGTTGATTAAGAGAAAATCCCCTGAGATGAAGTAGTGGTACTATATGTATAGTAAGTATTTGTGTGTATATTCACTCAAATTTCTCTGGCACTGAAATGGATCATGTGGAGCTAACAAGTATGTGGCCCCTTGACTCCTTTATGAGTAGAAAATACTCATGAAATAAGGTAACATGGATCTTTTGAATCAGTTGACTATGTATAGAAGTTCAATTATTTAAAGTCATCAAGTGTAATTGTGAAAATCCAAATACTATATAACTAGTCTTTTTGTAGCAGCTAATAATGAGAATCATTCTTCTTAGTAAGATCTGATTTTTGAAATGTATGAAGATGATCCTTTCTTATTTTAATACTACCTGAAACCCATTTAACTTTCTACATTTGATTCCTGGAGATGTTTATGTTCAGGGTTCTGTCAAAGCAATCTATTATTTCTGTTTTTACCTGATTGATCATGGAGAAAAATAATGGATTCAGTTATGAGAAGCAGTAATAGATTTTTTTTTAAACTGACATAAATTTCTTTTTTCTGTATAAAATAAAAGGATCAGGAAAAGATAAGTTGAATTTTCCTACAATGAGCCAGCTCTTGTTAAATTTACCACCCATAAATTGTAGCAAAGCACTTTCTATGTAATGTTTTATTTATGTGACTCAGTTATTTGGAGGTGGTGGTGAGGGATGTGAGCTTGTGATTTCATATGGTATTTCAAATCTCTTTTGACAAAAACCTAAGAGTTTTTGTAATAGGAAAAATTCAAAATTCCATTAAGCCTCTTTTAAGAATGTTAGAAAGGAAATAGATTTACCTTACCTAAGGTCAAAAGAGGCACAAAGTGGACTCCCAATAGTTGTGGAACCTGAATATTGTGTCATTTAAAAAAAAGGTAAAGTCAAAGAGATCAGCTGTCTCCAAACTGGGTGGTGAGAACGGCGGTACTGAAGGACACCAAAGCACATACCTCGGGGGAATGTCAGGCTTGGCCCATTCACAGCATCTACTTACAACATGTGTCTGCATGGAGAACACATGGACTGACTGAACCACAGGGGGTCCATACTCTTTTGTTTCTCTGATGGCCCAAAGGGAACCACTGCCCTTGGAAAGATGCCATTCTGTCACCCAGCCGGAGCTTCCTGGAAGAGGCAGGGCCCAGATGGTGATCCATGGCTTTGCCAAGCATATGCTCTACCTGCAATAATGTTTTTCATGGTCTAGTTGAACATCTGGTTTCTAGACCAGACTGCCTGGTGGGTTATGTGCCTGTGGTGACTTTTCAGAACTCTTTGAAAAGATATATATGCGAACCAGAATGGTGGTAATTTGGGCACTTCAATTGTGTCATTGTGTTCTTCCACTGAGGAAAGCCATTCTTAAAAAAGGTAGATGAGGTTTGTATACTTGAGTATTGGAATTGCCTGTGGCTCCCGGTTCTTACATTTCCCAGCATTATTACTGAGATGTTTTGGTCTAAAATCTTCAAAATGATTAAAATGAAAAAATAAAATCTTCAATATGATTTTAAAATTCAGTGTTGTAGGATAATAAAAAAAGCTGGGAAGTTTGGTGGAGAATACTTACAAATCTTTTAAATCCATGCCCCCAACAATAGTTTACTTTTCACAGCATTATTCTTTCACTGCCTATATTGCCCCATTAAATTCCTTCAGGTTTTTCTTTTTTTATATTAAGAAAGTGATAGTAAATCTTTTACATTATTTAATGCATTTAGAAATAAACTGGAGAATAAAAGTAGTATGCAAACTCTGAATTTCAGAATCTTCAATCTGTACTCAGATGGTACTATTTACATAGGAGTTATAAGACTAAGTTATAAGGCAGTGGATCTCAACCTTCCTAATGCCGCGACCCTTTAATACAGTTCCTCATGTTGTGGTGACCCCCAACCATCAAATTATTTTTGTCCTACTTCATAACTGTAATTTTGCTACTTTTATGTCTTAGGCAACCCCTGTGAAAGGGTTGTTCGACCCCCAAAGGGAAAGGGACACCCAATTATTTCCATTTACTCATCTTTCCTGGGTTTATCCATTGGTCATCTAAAGAAACAGACTTCAATGTAACATCTTTTTTATCTTCATGAAAAATAACCCACTCTTTCAGAAAAGGACAGCAAACACCAAACATGCCTTAAGTATCTAGTATGTGTATTGTTGTTGTGCAGGAGACTCAAGTCATATAACATAATAACCATGAAATCCTATGTTAGGGAAAAATGGTTAAAAGCAACTAACATTAATTGTTTTAAAAGAAGCTAAACATTTCTGGTAATAATTTCCTGAAATTTTAAAGTAGAGCCTTTGGTCCGGCTGGTGTGACTCAGTGGTTGAGCGTTGACCCATGCACCAAGAGTTTTCCCGTTTGATTGCCGGTCAGGACACATGCCCAGGTTGTGGGCCCTATCCCCAATGGGGGGCTGCCTCTCTCATTGATGTTCCTATCTCTCTCTCCCTTTCACTTCTCTAAAATCAATAAAGGAAAAAACAACAACATTTAAAATAGAGTCTTTGTTCTATTTGTGAAACATAAAGTAGCTTGTTATTAACCAAATTATATTTAATTTTTTATGGTCCATTTTCCAGGGTAAAAGACATCATAGCTTTTAATCATTTTAAAAAATCTATATTTAATTATAAGTTCAGAAAGTGAGAAACAAAACCAATTAACCAGATTAGTATATTTCAAAGGTACCACAGTGAAATTTTTGTCTCTAAAACATGTGTATTTCTATATTCTTTAATGATATTTATTGTATTATTATAAACAATAATTGTATAATTACATGTGAATATATATTACATATGATTAATTATATGTAGCTAATATATATGGTAAAAAAGATTAAAAAATACCTCTTTTAATTATGTCTCTTGTTATAATGCTATTACTTACCCTGGTTCAAATGCAACTTTAATTTTCAAAAACTTTTCTATTTCTGGTTTCTTTAAAATACTCAGAAAAAAGGCTTTTCTTGACAATATATTTTACCCCATGTTCTATGGGATTTGTTTGTTATGCTAGTTATCTCAAACTGATTATTTTAAACTTGACTTTTAAAAGTTGATTTCACTGTTTCAGAGGTCAAGTTGATTGTGGACCCACAACATAAAGTAGTGTATTTCATAGCAAGCAAAATGTCTTCTCAGTTGACGACACTGAAAGAGTTTGCATTTGGATGATAAGAAAAGCAAGTCTGTGAATCCAGGGATTATGGTCTTGCCTAGGCCACATATCACTGCAGGTCAGCTGCCTCATGTCACTTCTC